CAGCACAGAGCCGGATGAAGGGCTCAAACCCATGAACTGTGAAACCATGACCTGAGCCGAAGTCAGGTGCTTAATCAACTGAGCCACACAGGTGCCCCACTAATGTGGGTGTTCTAAAGAGCCCTGCAATGAACATATTTGGTATTTTCAGCTTTTCATTTTCCCAAACTTATTTTTTTTTAATGTTTAATTCATTTATTTTGAGAGAGAGAGAGCAGCAGAGGGGCAGAGACAGAGAGAAAGAATCCTAAGCAGGCTCCATGCTGTCGGCATTGACAAGAGCCCAGTGTGGGACTCGATCTCATGAACTATGAGATGATGACCTGAGCTGAAGCCAAGAGTTGGACGCTTAACTGACTGAGCCACCCAGCATGCCTTCCCAAACTTATTTGATCAAAGAACCTCCTTTTGGTCCATAGAAAGAACTCTGGGAAGTAGTGTTATGCACAAAACACTTTGTAGTGATTATACTCTAAAACAAAATTATTAGAATTTAATTTTGAGGGTCACCTGGGTGGCTCAGTCAGTTAAGTGTCTAACTTCAGCTCAGGTCATGATCTCACGGTTCACGGGTATGAGCCCTGCGTCGGGTTCTGTGATGACAGCTCAGAGCCTGGAGCCTGCTTCAGATTCTGTGTCTCCCTCTCTCTCTGTCCCTCCCCTGCTCGCACTCTGTCTGTCTCTCTCTCTTTCTCTCAAAAATAAATGAAACATTAAAAAATTTTTGAAAAGAGGCGGGTTTTTTTGCAATACGATTTGTTACCTAATCAATAAGGTCATTCATTTTTCACATTTCTGGGAAGTATACCAAAAAGGCTTCCTAAGATTTATCATATTATTAGGGGTGCCTGGGTGACTCAGTCGGTTAAGCATCTGACTCTTGGTTTTGGCTCAGGTCATGATCTCACAGTTTCGTGAGTTTGAGCCCCACATTGGGCTCTGTGCTCTCTCTCTCTCTCTCTGCCCCTCCCCTGCTCACGCTGTCTCTGTCTGTCTCAAAAATAATAAACTTAGGGGTGCCTGGGTGGCGCAGTCGGTTAAAGCGTCCGACTTCAGCCAGGTCACCATCTCGCGGTCCGTGAGTTCGAGCCCCGCGTCAGGCTCTGGGCTGATGGCTCAGAGCCTGGAGCCTGTTTCCGATTCTGTGTCTCCCTCTCTCTCTGCCCCTCCCCCATTCATACTCTGTCTCTCTCTGTCCCAAAAATAAATAAACGTTGAAAAAAAAATAATAAACTTAAAGTAAAAAAAAAGATTTATCATATTGTTAATTACACCTACTACTTTTTCCCTTGAGATACCAGCTTAATCTGATATTCTCAGAAAGATACTTTTCAAGGAAAAAGTGAAATATTAATTTCAACATGTATTTGCTTCTCTCTACACACACACACACAAGTACACAATTATAGCTTTAATCTTACTTTAAATATTTTTCCAACAAAACCTTGAAACTGCTATTAGCTCATTCATTTTATGGGAAATTTACACTATATAACCTAAGTGGCAATATCAGTTCTTGTTGTCATCCCTACCAGCCAAATTAGACTTCATTTCTGTTAAAAAGAGACTGGCTTTAAATATATATACATATGATAATATAGAAATGATAACATGCATTCCTGGGACATACTTGAGTTGTAACTCGAGGCCTAACAGATAAGGCACAGAGCCTTGCCATGAATTTGACACTTGAATGAAATAATACGCCTTCACATTTCTTATCAACTCTCTTCTTATCAACACTTTGCCCACAGGGACTTTCCTTCAGGGAAGGCAACAGTCTGAGATTGAAGAGACTGTGGGTATTAAATGAATAGTGTTATCACTTCAACTGCCTCACTTTATGAGATGTCGGAAGGAAGAACTTCCCAACACAGGCCAATCTTGCTTCTGCTACCATACTTCGTTCTTGACGAAATTATGTGTAGTACAATGACAGACATGAATCCCTCCAGTGGGGTTTTGGTGCCCCGATACCGAGGTTTCTGTCCCTTTGTCTAGTGCCTATGGGTTTTTCCAGCCCAGAGCAACATCCCACCATAAAATTAAGATGTGTTAGACTAACACATGTATTTCTTCTGCAAAATGGGAGAAAGGCAACTTGAAAGGGGAGGTGGGGAGGAAGGACTGGCCCAGTCACAGCTGCAGGGCAGATGGGTTTCAGGAAAGAGTACACATTGAATCTGGGAACAAATTCTTTAAAACTGCGTGTGCCGAGGGGTCCCTGTGAAATCTTCTTGTACGCCTAGGGGAATGCATACTTCCGACAGAAATGTGATATGATTAAAGCACAATCACGTCTTAAAATTTCTCAAGTTGAGGAGCTGTTCTTCTCACGTTTCTTCACCAAAACATTACAATTTTACTTTAAAAAAAGAGAGGCATCTCTCAGTTTTGTTTCTTTAAAGATAATTTATTGTTAAATGAAGAAGTCACAAAGCAAAATGGAATGGGACAGATGTCAAGATAAATTGAAAAAGTAGTTTTTGTCAAATGCTCTTCTGGATCTCCTAAGGTTAGAAACAGGAAAAGAGTTGAATGAAAAGGTAATCGTTCTTTTTAACAGGTCTGAATTTGAAAAGAAAACAACTTTTGTCCGAAAATACAAATCCGCTTTATTACATGAAAGCTATAAGTTAAGAGACTGAGAAAAAAGACTTTTTTTTTTTTTTTTTTTTTTAGTAGGCTCCACGCCCAACGTGGGGCTCAAATTCACGACCCTGAGATCAAGAGTCGCGTGCTCTTCCTACTGAGCGAGCCAGGTGCCCCAAAGACTTTTTACTTAATAAGTAAACTGTATCTCTCAGATATGCTTAGGAATGTTTGGTTTTAATGAGCAAGTTTTAGAAATCATTGCTTCCACCTTGTAAACTAACACAAATCCACCAAAGGTCAACGTCATTTATTCACCAAAGTGTCCCATCACATCTTCATATGCTTCCTTTCTTGCAACTTGCAGAAAGCAGGTATGAAGAAAAAGAGAAGGTGAGAAAGATCTACAGTTGGTTCCCTAGTGAATAACTTAAAACCTGCTTTTCCATTTGTATTACACATTCACAATCGATCCCTTCTACTTACTTTACTGATACATTTCAGATTCTCTCCACACCTAGAATGATTTTCCCGAACTTAACCCAACCCCCAAAACAAACAAGTCTCGTATGGACATCTCAAAGCGCGGCTGTGTTCAAAGGCTATGTTCTCCCACATGTCTCTCCTGCCATGCTGTCCACAGTACTGTTCTGAGTTCATTCAAGTGTCCCCACTGGGCCAGAGCAAAGCCTTGGGAATTCTCTTAACATAACTTAAAAATTACATTTACCACTTGTCTTCAATGATAAGATTATGAAATCAGAGAGGAAAATTCGTGTTTGTCAAGAAATGCCAGGTAATTTTCCAGAAGCAGACAGTACTTGTTACTCTGCATGACGGAGCGGGGTGTGGAATCCCAGGGGGCCCCTTTACGGGTTCCGGCTCAACTTCGCTACGGCACACTCAGGACCATGGACCCCACCACGGGTTCCACCGAGAGATGCGTCCCAACAGGGGCACGACAGACTAAACATTGTTAAAGCTGAAGAGGACACCGGACAGATTGTCTCGAGGGGCTTCCGATAACGTTAAAGGAGAGTGATTATCAGCACACCTGCTCTCCTCAGAACAAAGGTCCCTGCTGTGGCTCCAGGGTACTTACAGAGTTGTCAATTTCGCTCTCAGGACACACAGAAACCATCCACAGAAACCCAAAGATACAGCGGGAATCCGGATTTACGATACCCTATAACCCTCGAGCACATGAGAGAACGTGGTTGTATTCAAAGGAAATATCCGTGGAATGTTCTTTCCAATAGTGGAAGATCAAAAGCCATCTGCCACCTTCTTCAGTCAAAAACCTCAGGGAGAGGCAGGAAGAAGTACACGCTGGGGCACGGAGGAGGCAGGGTGGGCAGGGAGCCAAAGCCAGAGACAGCCTGGCCCACCGCACCCTCCGGCCCATCGGCCATTTCTGCTTCTGAGGCCAGTTCAGCCGAATTCACGAAGTGTCTTCCGTCCGCACCTAATGCCCTGATTGTCACTTACACTAAAATAAGCACTTTCGAGAAATATGTACCATCGCGACAGTGCCCGGGTTTTGGAGTTTGACTTGTGACATTAACCCCTATCCTGAAGTCACCCTTCCTTCACCCGGAGGGGGTTGGAGTGATTTCTTGCTTTTGGGCTTAGACCTAAGGCACTGGTGGAATTCTCTGCAGTGTGGACGCCGTCAGTCAAAGTCTGAAAAGCAGTTGACCCAGGATCCCTGGAGAGAGGACAACCATCCTGATGAAACAGATTACCAGAAACATCTACCTCTGTCCCCTCCCAGACAGCGGTAAGTCCTAGGTGTGGCCGTCCATTCCCACCGTGAGCAAAACTCCCTCGTGGAATCCCCAAAAGTAGTTTCCCTAAGCATTCTTTAAAAATGCTGTTTCTCTCAAAAGGGCCCTCTGCTATGTTTTGCCTTATGAAAAAATAGGAAAGTATTTGGAAACCCCAAAATACATATCAGGAGAGTTACACAAGCCTGAGGACACATTACCAGATGCCAAGGGTTCAAGGCGCTTTGCCAGAGCCCAAGCTTGGAACTAATGGGTGGAAGGAATAAGAACAAAGCCGTTGCTCTCAAATTGGCCAGTTTGACCTGACTGTCCTGAAGAGGTGAGAACAGGGTGAAACTTTCTTTCTTTCTTTCTTTCTTTCTTTCTTTCTTTCTTTCTTTCTTTCTTTCTTGGCAACTTATATTGTGGTTTGGGGTTTTTTGATATCATGAAAAAGATTTCGAGAATTCCGAGAGTTTTGGTGAACAGGAAATACAAATGGAAATGGAAAAAAAATATGGCATGAAGCTCGGCTCTCCACAGATTGAACCCATATGGATGTCACAGCTCACTGAATTAGCACCGCTTTCAGGGAAGACACCTCAGGCTGAAATGTCTCCAAACTCACTTTTTCCGTCCCAGAGACTTTCTCCAGGGTCTTCCTCAGGCCAGCTGACCAATAGAAGAAGAGCTCGCTCCTCCCTCCCTATTTCAAACTGGGGCCGTTTTCCTTTTGCTTCAGTTGGCTTCCTGTTTTCTCATCAGATGGAGACTTTGGGGAAACCAGGCAGCAGCAAACTAACAATATACTCCTTTTGAAAACAATTTGACCATTAATATGAACCAAATTCTCTCAATGGTTCTAATACGATGCCGTGACATTTTCTTCCTTCCCCGGGCTGGGCTTAGAGGTGTCTCTAGGTCAGACTCCTCTGGGGCACGAGCCACGAGCCACACTCGAGGGCAAGGGAGGAGCTGGTCCAACCCCACCCAGCCTTGAGTCAGCACTCGTCCGAGAGGCAATCACTGCCCAGGAGCTCTGTGGCTTCGAGCTCCACGCTGGACAGGAATCTCCTCAGTGTCTTGCGGCAGTTGTAATCCAGAGTGGTGGTGTAGACGGTCTTGGGGTACTTGGGGTAGACGATGGTGGTGCTGAGGAAGCGGGTGGGCTTGTGGCGGGGTTCGAAGCGCACCTCGGCCTTATAGTTGCGCCACGTGCAGTTGGGGATGCAGGTGACTGTCTGGCTGCAGGAGGTCACTGCCAGGCCCAGGGGCAGGTGGACATCGTCAATGAAGTGCCTCTCTGAGTCGTACTTGACCGAGGAAGTGTACCTGGGAGGGAGATATAAGGCAGCACGAAGCCGTTCCCCTTGAGCTTGGGGCTCAGGGGTCCCTACCGTGACCTTGATCCTCTCGTGTGGTGCAAACCTTGAGATGTGGCTACTCTGGTCAGAAGCAGCAAGGAACTGAAGCACTTACTGTGTGGTACAGTTCTAAGCACTTCACTTCCAGGATCTAATTTAACTGAACCAACTACCCTGGGAGAGAAAACGGAGGTGCAGAGGTCAAGGTCACAGTGGGAGTGAGTAGTGGGGCTGGGGTTTACATGCACGTGTGCAAGATCCCAAAGTTTACCCTGCACGCACTATTTCCCTTTGCGGGCCGCAGCCCCTGGAGTCCAAGAGTTTTGGTGAATTTAAGCTAGGAGAGCTTGGTCACCTTACTTCCCCAAGCCTTGGTTCCTCTTTCTGCAAAAGGTGCCCAAAAAGAACGGAGCAGAGTATTAACACGCAGCAAGTGCTGTTGTTGGTATAACAAGGTGGATTCTACCTTTACTAGGGGTGAATGGTTTGTATTCTCTGTCCCCTGAAGTCACCATCAGCTTGCTTGCTTGCTTTATTCCTTCCTTCCTTTTTTTTAATGTAAGCTTTATGCCCAGCGAGGGGCTTGAACTCACATCCCTGAGATCAAGAGTCACATGCTCTACCGACTGAGCCAGCCAGGCACGCCCACCACCAGTTCTTTAATGAGAGGATGACGGAACCCAGGAATCCTGAATGCTGGTTCTGAAAGTTCAGTGATACCAAGTACTTGTACTTGGTCCAAACTTGGCCTTCGGTTTGGAGACCCCCTCAAACCAGAGACTCCGATATCTGACCTTATCAATCAAAGCCAATTACAGTCTTGATTTCAATAAAATAAATTAACATCCATATTCTACTTTTTTTTTTTTTAAGTCCTTCTTTGGTAACTTGGAACCTACCTTTTTTCTTTTCTTTTCTTTTTTTTTTTCTTAAATGTAAGCAAAGCATTAGTTCATTTTACTGAGTAATTATGGCAGCTTCATAGATCTTGAAATAAGAATGAGCATCACACAGCATTACCCACACCAGTGCCCCCTACCCACCGGTCAGGGGGTAAGAATTAGCATTCTTTTCAATGGAGAGGATGAAAACACGTATTCTCCTTAGGCAAGTAGGTTAGAGGCTGGTGGAAGCTAATGTCATGAAGTCATGTCCTCATTTTGTTCAAAATACAAGCTCCCCAGGAATAAAGGACTGAACCGCTCACCTCCAAACTGGTGAGGCCTTTGTTTCCCATAAAAGGGCCCTTTGTATTAAGGGAACTGAGACTCCAGCAAAAAACCCACCAGCTACCAAAAGTAAAATTCCTTTCTCTGAAAAGACAGATCTTTAACAGAGGCTCTCAGTGAATCTCTGCCCCCAGGTAATCCTGGATGAGATAAATTCCCAAAGGAAGAATGGTACTTTCAGATTGCAAGTGAAATTGTAATTGGAGACAAGGTTATTGCACCTTGAGGCAGGGGTGGGGAATGGGGGGGGGGCAGCTTCTGAAAGAGGAATTATTTTATTACAAAATTGTAAATATCTGATGGTCATGATACACAAAGTGCAAAAAACAAGGGGCGGACTTTATGTATAACACGATCTTGTTTTTATTTTAAGAGCTGTGTCTATGTATTTAATTGGTGAGAATACACAAAGAAATCCGAAATGGTACCCAATAAACTATGAAAAGTCTTTGGCACACTTTTGTGGTTAACTCATTTTTTTTTTTTTTTTAAAATAACAAGCATTACTTTCTGGACCAAAACATGAAAGTGACAAAATCCAATCAGACCAGGGCCTGCTATATTTACCTTACTTCTGTCGGTGGTAAGGGGTCAAACTCCACTCCTTCGCCAAAGGACAGGGGGCAGAGCCTTGGCGAGCAGGCGAAGGCCAGGGGACTGGGGAGAGATGCTGGATTCTGTGAGGATGGAGAAGGCAGTTAGACCACAGGCCAGTCTGACTCATCCCCCACAAAGGTCCTGGCTCTGAGCTTCCTGCTGATGGACCCGACTGTGATCTGTGTCCTCCTCCTGGTAACAATGCCGGAGAAGGGCTGCCCCACAGCACGGGAAGAGCTCTGCATGGGGAGCCTGGAGATCTGGGTCACATCCCATGCCCTGTCACTTTATCTGCACACCAAGGGGATGCCCGTTTCCATCACTGAGGTTTTGTGAAAGGCTGAGGAGCTCAGTGTCACAACCTTGGTCAGACCCTGGGGCTGCTGCGTCATCGCACGGCAAGGCGATGAGAAAACCTCGATGAACTGGGGCCTCACTAACCAGAACCCTCAATTACGTGTACCCCAACGCTGTCATTGTCTCAGCAATACTTCAGAAAAGGCCAAAACAAAACTAAACTCTACCAGGAATTTTTTCACACTGGAAGATTCCAACTTCCCCGCCGCCTTCTCTGCCTCTGGGACTGCTAGATTTACACCCAACGAAGATGCAGAGATCCATAAACTCACTGGTAAGATGAACACCCCAAAGGTCTCGACCCCACCTTCCACCATTCAGAAACCAGAGCACGGCATTCCTGGAGGTTAACGGGCTTCTAGCCTGCACCAAGCCCCGAACTTCGATTCATCAAGTAGCCTGAGTAAGGGGGACAGTCCCGTCCTAGACACGGGGGCTACTTTTCACCCGATTTGACTGGAATTGGGCTTCTGTGTTAAGTGTTCACGGGAAGCAGCCTTTTGGAGTCCTGGGTTTACAAGCGATCTGTCATTTTCTCTGCCTAATTTGAGAGTAGGAGCCACACTCCGGCCAGGATGTGGAGGTGGCGGCCCGGCCCCCACATCTTCCAGGATAGAGAAGGAAGCAGACATTTTTAGAAGGTAGGCTCTAAGACTGTTATCATGTTACCCAGGCAGAGTGTCAAGTGAGGGTGTAGGGTAGAAACACCAAAGTCAAAGGGGACCATGGTAGGTGAGGGAGGGGCAAAGGGTCCAGCTCCTGAACTCGGGTGGAGAGCTTAAGAAGCCTTGGCTGGGGGAGGGGCTGTGGTTGGGAACTAAGGTCTGTGGCCGGCAGGGGGGGGGGGGGGGGGAGGGGCAGGGGAAGGTGTGGGCACTGGCTGCTGCAGAGCTGCGGAAACAGCCCCCAAGTGATGGCAGGGAGGCCTACTCTGTCCCCAGCTCTCCTCAACCCAGGGAGCGCCTTCAGGCAGTGCTGAGGGTGGCAGGACGCAGGATGACAAGGAGTGGAGGTGTTCAACTCTTAACACTCACACTGCAGCCAGGAATCCACACAAGCACTCAGTTCTCTTGCCCCTGCCTTGCCTTCTCAGCTGCCTCACCCTGCCCACTCAACAGACACTCCCTGAGCACACCCCTTGGCCCAGGTCCAGGCTGGGGACGGTGCACGCAGCAGGAGTTCCAACAGACGCTTGAACAAGGTGCCGCCAGGGAACGGGGACCACGCCACTGATTTGGCCTGGCTCAGGGAAGCATCGAGGAAGGCTTCCCAGAGGAGGTGACAAGTTGAGCTTGAAGGGCCAGCAGTGCTCTGATAGGTCAAAAAGGCAGCTGGGTGTTGGGGGAGGTTGGAGGGGATGGGCTCGGAGGGAAAAAACATGCCAGGTAGAGGGAGCAGCATCGGAGGCACCAATGCATGTATCTGCCTAAGGTCAGGGGTGTGCCAGACAGCAAGGGTTCTGTGCCTTCCAACGGAAATGAGAGAGTACACGGAGGTCTCTGAGACAGGGTCAGTGGGGCAAGAATTCCACGTCCATGAAAGTGCATAGGTCTTTAAGGAACAGCAGGAGCCACTGACAACTCCACCCCCCCCCACCACCACTCGGGAGAGGCTGTAAATACCCATCCCCAAGGGGAAGGGAGGGGGGCTGAGAGCCCCACTTTGGGCCTTGGCTCTAGGCAGGATGTGGCTTCCCATGAGCTCTAGGGAAAGGCAATAAACACCACCTGACTGATTCCTGAGGCAAAAAAGTCTAGGTGTTTTTTCTGTAAATACAAATCTTGAAATAAAAGAAAAGAACTCCTTTTTGAAAGTTTCCTCCCACCCATCTAGAGTCAGACAGGGGTTAGGTGACAGGACAAGGTGGGGGAGGGGACACCAGGAGGCCAGAAGCTCATGGGGTAACTTTTCTCAAAGGCTGTCTTCCACGCCACTGACATGGTCCCCAAAGGCTGCCCGCTCCCTTGCTCCTTGAATCAGGGAGCTGAAGCACACCCTTCTCCCCCAAGACCAGCCAGGAGGAGCCAGGCCCTCGGGAGGCGCCCCCCGGTAGGGGCAAAGCCGGGTGGGGGCGGGTGGCGGAGGTGCCAGGCCCGCAGTACGGAGGAGGCTGGGGTTCCTTCTCCGTGTCCCGGGCCCCTCTCCGGCCGGACCCGGGCGGGAATGTGGCCGAGTTGTAGACTCGCAGTCCCGGGGGCCGCCACCCCGAAGAGAGGAGGCGGCGGCGCGCCTCTCCCGGGGCTCCCGCGCCTCCCAGGCGATGACAATTTTCCAGCCACCGGCTCCAGCTGGCCAGGCTCTCGCCGCGCTCCCGCCCCGGACTCCCGGCGATGGCCACGCCGTCCCGACGGGCGGGTGGCGGCGCCGACAGCGCGCCCCGAGCGGGCCGGCGGGGCTGGCCGATGGCCCCTCGGGAACCGGCTGCGGGTGGGATGGGGAGGGAAGGGGCCGGAGCGGAGCCACTCACCGGGGCTGCTGGG